CCCTCTACTCAGCCCTGGGGAGGCCGCATCTGGAGTATTGTGTCCAGTTCTGGGCTCCACAGTGCAAGAGGGATGTGGAGCTGCTGGAGAGAGTCCAGCGCAGGGCTACAGGGATGATCAAGGGCCTGGAACATCTGTCCTATGAGGAGAGGCTGAGGGAGCTGGGCCTGTTCAGCCTGGAGATGAGAAGGCTGAGAGGGGACCTGAGCAGTGCCTATAAGTACCTCAAGGGAGGCAGTGAGGAGGATGGTGCTGGCCTCTTTTCAGTGGTCGCCACCAACAGAACTAGAGAAAACGGCCACAAACTGAAGCATCAAAACTTCCACAGGAACATAAGGAAAAAATTCTTAACTGTGAGGGTGATGGAGCACTGGAACAGGCTGCCCAGAGATGCTGTGGAGTCTCCTTCTCTGGAGATCTTCAAAACCCGCTTGGACGCAGTCCTGTGCCCTGTGCTCTAGGTGACCCTGTGTGTGCAGGGGGGTTGGACTAGATGATCTCCAAAGGTCCCTTCCAACCTTGAGCATTCTGTGATTCTAAGAGATGAAAGGCTAGAAGACAAAATCAGGCCAACTCAGATTAGGGAAGGCCCACATTTATAACTGTGCCTGATGCCAGATAGGAATTCCTTGGCTTCTTAATGTCTCTCAAAAAGCATCTAAGGTATTAATTTGAGTGTGCTTTAATGAGGTTAATAGTAAGGGCAATAACTTGTGTAACAAGATGAAACACCTAATTGCCTGGGATTCACAGCAGTTTAAACTGTGTGACATAATGGTTTCTTCCAGTCCAAAGTTCTAGGAAAATGTAGAGGGGCTTTTCCCCCTAGCTGAAAAATAGCTTCTGTCCTTGATTTGATCAAATTAGCAACGCAGCTTTCGTCGTGGATTGATGATTTAATCGTCAATGCTAATCATCAAATGCTATGCGCCAGGAAGTCTGCTGGGCAAAATGAACAGGACAGGGAAGTCCTGGAGTGAAAAGTTTCCAGTTTGGTTGGTTATCCTGCCTCCAGTAGCTGGGAAAGAGAAACCTGATGGTCTGTGGTAGTTTGACTATTGGTGACTTTTAACCTCTTCAGTACGGAGGTAGGAAAATGGCAAGTGGCCTGTGATGGAGGGTTGCAGTGATTTCTGTATGGCCTTGCTCAACCCAGGATTTTGACAAAAACTTCAAACAGGCTTAGTTTAAAATGTCTGTGGTGTCCAATGATGAAAAATGTCTCCTGTGTGACAGCCCCTAAGTACCTCTGAGCCAGTGTACGAGCTGTGTAGAATACGATCTCGGGCAGGGGGAAGGAAGTTAGTTGCTGTGTCAGTAGTTTGATCTCACTGAGACAGGGGATAAGGATAATTACAACCTAATTGCAGCTGAGCTTGAGCTTTGCAGAAGAGAGAAACAGAGCAAAACAAGTGACAGTTTTTCATCACATGAATGAAGTGACTCTGGGTCCTGGACAGAAGGAAACTCCTAATGCTTGTATGAACTTGTGTTTCAGAGCTGAAATGTCATCCCCTGTTTCATGGTGTAGACTGGGATAACCTACAGCATCAAACTATGCCTTTCATACCTCAGCCAGATGATGAAACCGATACCTCTTATTTTGAAGCTAGGAATAACGCTCAGCACCTGACTGTGTCTGGATTTAGTTTATAGCATCAAGATAAGTGATTTTTTGCACACTTACGGGTTGTCCGATAACACTAGTTTGGTCTTGCTAAGTTTTCTTGCCAAATTTAGAGTGTTTTAAGTGATCAATCTGCTTTTACTATTGGTTTCTTTATTCTAAAGCGAAACTACTGTACAAAATTTAGTTGGTATCAAGTGCCTTTGTGCTACTTTTTATTTATCTCACTGCACCTTACTGAGAAGTCAGAGTGTTGTATTTCTTTAACACTTTACTTGGCAAAACATTGTTCTTTTGTTCACTGTTTTTAACCAATGTGTAACCATTTAGGAGGTGGGGAGCTCTTCTATTAATAGGGGATGCTAACTGCTTTAAATACAACCTAGCTACCTGTTGTTCAATGTAGTCCCATCTGAGACTTGTCCTTTGGAACCAAGTTGAATATATGTCCCTTATGCAAAACAGATGTCCCCATGCATGGAGGGAAACTAAAGTCTTAACACATTGTTGCAATACCTTATTTCTCTGCTTACCTCACTCCAAGAAAAGTTAAAACGGGCACTGTTCAAAGTGAACTCGACAGTAGGTGTCCTGTCAGTGTTGCAAAGCCTGCCAATAGCTCTACTGCTTCTCATCTTTGCTTAGACAAATGGGGTTAGGAAAAAAAACCTCGGGCAATTCTCCTAGTCATACATTCTTTGTTGACATTGTATTGTAACCACTTAGAACAGACTTGGACTTGAGGAAGGACTTCAGCAGCAAACACTTCAGCAGTTATTTATTTTGAATAGAAAGCATGGAACACATGTGTGTGAGTTCTTCATGTCAGATGTTAAGAAAACAAAAAAATCACCATCCTAGTGTTGGCTGATGAGTGAAGTATTGTTGATATTGAAGCTGCTATATATTAAAAGACTACAGTGTACTGCAAGTTAATAGACTATATTGTAAATTCACAGACAGATTTTAGATTTCAGTAGAACCTGAGTTATCTCTTTACAGTGTTAGACTTTATAATTAGGGGCAAAATGCCTTTTCAGTATGCTTCAAAAATGCAACATGAGAAAATCTGCATGGGGTTAGATTTTAAAAGATTGTTGTAGCTAAAAGATGATGATTTAATTAGTATTAATTTTTGTTCTTTTTGAGTTGTCTCTTTGAAGATTTTTATTTTCCAGGTTTTTACCTGTTAGTTAAAAGATCGCAGGTGCTGGATGGTGGTGCTAGCCCCACTGGCTTCATGCCGCAAGTCTAGAAATTTGTTTGTGACTCTTTCAGACTGTTTTTCGGACTTTGTGAATTCACGTTCCACGGCTGGAGCAATTGAGTTGTCCCTTCCTTGTATAGCTTCCTGGAACATGAGACTTGCTGAATGGGATTTTGAGTAAAAAATCCCTAGGTCCTCTAGGTTTCTTGCTTGTCCTTTCAGGTAGCTAAAAAAGAATTAGGAAGGGAGGGGGGAAAATCCTAACTTCTTTGAGGTGACAAAAGAGCTAATTGCCAACAGTTCCAAATGCTGGTGTTACTGTGCACATGGTCTGGAGCTGGGATTCATCATATAGAAGGAGAAGTTTAGAAAGTTGCCAGACCTGGTGAACTTTCTCCCTTCACTAAGGGGTCAGCTTCTGAAAACCTCTAAATGTGCTGAATTGCTACGTGAGAGGAATGAGGAAAGAACCGCAAGGCGTGCGTTGCAGAAGCATGAGCAATAGAAGACTGATGAGCAGAAGTTCTTTAGCATGACTTTGTATGAAAAATGCAGACTTCTTCGTGTATTTGGAATGTACTGACCTCTAATGAAAAATCATACCTTACTTGAAATACTGGCATTTTATGGTTTGGAAAAGAGTCTTGTGAGAATCAGTTTTGCACTAAGGAAAAATCCTTTATAAAGAACATGTAATGAAATTATGTAAGCTTAACCCCAAGGCTGCTGTGATCAGTAGCTTACAGGTGGTTACAGCATTTCCCATTTTGCAGTATAGTGCATTCACATTATTATTAAAAAATATTTCAAGCAGTCAGTGGCTACTTATCTTCAAAGAGAGAAAAAATCAAATGTAGCAGTTAAAGACTAAAGCTTCTTCCTCTTAGTGGCTCCCTCCAGCTGTGGAATATGACTGGGCAGCCAGCTGTGACCTGGTGTGTTTTGGAACGCCCAGGCTTCTCTCTGTGCGCGTGTCCTGCACACAAGCACTGGGGCTTCCTCCTTACCCCGGGGGCAGGTGATCGGCTGTTACCTGGGCAGGAGCTGAAGACGGTCCAGCTGGGCTGTGCAGCACGAGCAGTCTCGGCAGCTGTCACCAGCTCCAACTTGCTGTTAAGCTGGTGTATGTGTTGCACGAGGCTGGGAGATGGAGGTGCTGAAGTGTTGATGTGTTTGAGTGAGTAGGTTCCAGTCTCAGTGTGATCCGGGGTCACCTGTGGTCGCTCTTCCAGCAGACTTTATTCTGTTGCTATCCATTACCTTTTCAAAAATACATACTTTGCACTCTGTCCTATATAAAATAAAAATAAAATAAGTACTGCAGTCTTGCTTCTATTTCTGTATTTTTGTCTGAGTATTAGCTCACCAGGGTTGGTTTTCTTTAGAATCTGTCTTGTCTTTAAACATGTTAATCTATAAAGGGTGAGGTGGGGGAAAAGGATACTGTTCTGCTAGAGATAAGGGAAAATACTATTAAAGAAACACATTGCACTGTGTGGTGTGTGGACAGCTTATCTAAAGCCCTTGGATTGTAGAGAAAGAAGGAAAAAACTTCTGCAGCTTCTGAATTTTTATGGGCTGAGCTAGCAAGCTCCTGTGCTGAACTTAATGCTATTATCTGCATGTCTGCATTATCAAAACTTCCCTGTTCTCTGCAGATCAAAATCTCTGCGCTATATTGTATTCCTTAAGTACCACTCTCTTGCCCTCTCTCTTGCTTTTTTGGTCAGTAATAGCATAAAGGTGGCACTCACAAAAAATGAGGATATGCAGAGCCCTACCAGAGGACAAGGAAGCACTTTCCCAGAAGTACGTGGGTCCCACTGCTGCCCTTCTCCAGAAGAGCTTGTTTCATTCTAAGCTTTTGCTTCTCCCCAGCCCTGGGAGCCCTTCAGCTCCTCCTGGGTCTCCCTATTGTGCTTGCAGGCCAGGGGCAGGAGAGCAGGGCCTCCTTCCGAGCTGAGTCCTGGTCGTGACCCTTCCTCATACACAGGAGCCGCAGTGAGTGGCTCCGGCTCCCGCAGCGCTTCCTGTGGCTGGGAGCAAGGAAGAGCCAGGAGCCACCCCTGGGCACCCAGCTCTGCTGCTTTCCAGAGCTGCATCCGGCGAGCGCTGCGGTGGCCTCTGCACGGCCTCAGCCCGAGCACTCCCTGTGGCTGGGGGGGGGGGGGGGGGCGCCCGCACCCTTGGGGTGCCCTGCGGCTGCTCCGGCACTGCCCTGTGAGGAGTCTGCCCTGTGAACACTCCAGTGCTGCCCTGTGAGGGGGCTGCCCTGCGGCTGCTCCGGCACTGCCCTGTGAGGAGGCTGCCCTGTGAACACTCCAGTGCTGCCCTGTGAGGGGGCTGCCCTGCGGCTGCTCCGGCACGGCCCTGTGAGGAGGCTGCCCTGTGAACACTCCAGTGCTGCCCTGTGAGGGGGCTGCTCTGCGGCCGCTCCAGCGCTGCTCTCAGGACCAGCAGCCCTTCCAGGGAGAGCTGCACTAGGAAAAACGTGCGCCAGGTCTCACCCTGGTAACTTGTGTCACTGCCTCTAATTAAGGTTGTGTCTCTTCAGGCTCTAGCAAGTGACAGAGATGGTTTTCTGTACCCACCAAGAAGTGTCAGCAGGCTGGAGCCCTGAGCAGCGGGTGGCCAGCCCCAGGGCACCGCAGTGTGAGGCACCCGTAACTCGTGTCTCACTGGGCTTTGGTTCGGCCTGTGTGGGGCTCCTCGTACAGCTGAAGCAGCAGTGTGCAACATCTGCTCAGCAGCACAAAAACTGAAGATTACGCATAGCATGTTAAGGGACTGATTTATTGAGATAGGAATAAATAACAAAGATAACAGCTGCCTGCATGATTTCACGGGGAGGCTAACAGGTAAGCGCCTGTGCTAAAGTCTATCCTGCCTTTAAAAGCCAGATACCTAAATACGGCCGTGTTAGGAAGGGAGAGAGGTGGTCTGTAGTGCTGCTTAGTAGGGCAGGTTTTGTTTTTTATCATGATTAAGCTGGAATAAACTTCCTAACTTCTATCATTTCACGTTATTATATCAAATACCAGGGGAACTTTGAACCACAGGCACCAATGGCTTCAGCAGATGGCAGAGCTCCCCTTACAAAAACAGCCTGGCACAGACCCGAGCACATCGAACCCTCGGATTACTGCAGCAGTCTTCAAAGATGGTCTTAGTTTATTTTTTTAATTCAACTTTACACACACACACAAAAAAAGGAGGGAAAAATCACTTAAAAATAACACAACTAAAGATTAAAATTGCTCTGATTTTCACAGAATTTAATGTTTGTCTTACATTTTTATACAGTATAACTTGTATGAAAAATGTTTTCCAAACCATAAAAAAATTTCAGGAAGGACAGAAAATTATTTTCCTTAAGAATAAATTGTAGTATTTACTCTGGCTGAAAAATGAATGCACAGCTAACATGGTGTTACTTCTAAATATTCAAACTTTAAACAGAGGCTGGGTATGATGTATTTATTTTTAGCAAATAAATGTCTTAAATTTGACAAAAATGTAATATTAAATGCACTTTCATTTTCCAGAGATTTAGATAACTTAATATATATTTAAAAATTAACTGTAAAGCATGCTTTTGAATTAAGCTAGCTTCACGAGGTTGTACATTTATCTGCATATTGGTTAATAAATAATCTGTGAAAGAAGACGAATCAGCACCAAAATTAGCTTAAAAAATTGTTTTGCAAAGAAGTAGAAGGATAAGAGAAAAACACAGGAACTGCCTTTTTTTTAGTGAGTGGGAAAAGTCCACAAGAGATTAGGATTAGGTAAATTCTTATTTTAATTTGCCATAAACTGACATCAGAAAACTTAAATACAGTGAGCTTTCTAAAATTTTAGAGATATAATTACAGCGTTAGTTTTTAATCTCCATTGAAACCTTGTGCATTTCCTATATGTTTCACTTACTTAAAACAAGGTATTGACATCAAGAATACAATTATCAAAGTTAAATTAAGGTGCAGCCTCTTTAGAAGAATCCCTTGTACCACACACTGCTTTCAGACTGATACTTGACATTTCCCCCTTATTAACAGCTCTGACACGCAAGACAAATAGCAATTCTCTAGATTCCTTTACAATTTTATGGATAAGTGAA